CTGATAGCTTTGCAATACATGTTTTTTGAACTATATTTTCAAATTTAGGCTCATTATTTGCGAAGTACATGCATCTACCAAGAACAACTTTCAAGTAACACACCCTTGTGTCTATGATTGTAGGTAGCCCAATGAGTGACCGAACACGCCCTTGCTTCTATGATTGTTAGGCCTTGACGGATTATGCTAGCATAATTTTTCGCATAATTCCTACCAATGGTTGATAAATATGGTGGTAAACACACACCTGGCAATAGGGCGGTAAACACACGCCTGCCCACACACGCTCTCTAAGCTGCAAAGTTCTGGCACAGAGCTCTCCTTCTCACCACCACCACCATCAGTTCGCGCCTGGCGCCTAGTCGATGCATGGTTGGCGGTATCCGACATAGCAGGCTGGTACATCAAGTAGCGCATGGCATATAGAAGATGACACAGCAACGACATAGCTCTCTACGACAGGTCACAGCGAGACAGCTCACAGCGCGACAACTCACAGCGCGACAACTCACAGCGAGACAACTCACAGTGTCGTCAACTCACAGTCAAGACAACTCACAACCAAGACAACTCACTGCGCGACAACTCACAGTGTCGACAACTCACAGCGAGGCAACTCACAACGTCCTTATTTATGTAATGGTGCAATGAAGACCTGCAGTCCGTGGGGGTTGGTCCTAGTAAAAACGTACAATGTACATGTATAATGATAATAATAACGCGACGTTCCCGGCACTTCTCTATTTACTTTTGAAGTACATATAATGCAAAGGAGAAAATAACAGAGAACTTTAATCGAGAAAGAAGACAAAGCCTGAACAAGAAGAAGACAGTAATGAGAATAAAGTTAAATTATAAGATAAAATAAAAAATAAACAAATAATCTACGTGGAGATAAAAGTTTAATAATAGCTATGAAAAGTATGAATGCCGCAGACATCACCACGCAACATGACAATTTGTTCAAGGTTTGGTTTTGTGTGTTTCCAAAATCGATTTTCACGCTCCGATCATCAGTGGAAATACGGAACTAAAGAGATCAAGGGAAAAACAAAGGTTAAAAATCCAAAGAAGTGTGACACATGACGGGTAACTTGTGGTAAGTATTACAAAAAGTGAGAACTAAAATAAGGAGTAAGTGTGACAAACGGGCATGAACAGTGCAGAAACAACTCATGAACACGGGGTGCAAACTCACGAAAATAACCTAAGTGCTAAAACATGTTCTTTTTGCTTACACAAATCGGGCTTATGCGTACGAATACAAACAGCTTCAAGGACCTTCAACTGCTGGACATAACGGGCACGACACAGTACAGAGAAGTGGGAATCATCATACACACTCAAACAATCGGGACGAGATAACAAATGCAAGTACACAGCTGACTTCTTACGAATCTCACCCTCATCAGCTCCATCACCTTCCCTGCCACCTGACTCCTCCTCGTCCGTTTTACCACCATCACCACCAGCCGTCTCATCGTCATCCGCCTCGTCGTCATCCGCCGCCTCGTCATCACCCGCCTCGTCGTCATCTGTATCCTCGCCGTCATCCGCCTCGTCGTCATCTGTATTCTCGTCATCGGCTGCATCATCACCCAACTCATATTCACCACCAGTCAGTCGTCTGATACCATCCATGTTCTCCTTCCTACGTCTGTCCCGTGCCACTGTCCTTACCTCATCTACGTCCCGAGATTGTGTTCCGTTTTGCCCCCGGCTTCCGGTCTCCTTCGATGCTCCGCGTGGGCCTTGGCCATTCCTAGCATATATTTCGGTTGAATAATTGGCGGTCGACCTCCGTGGTCTCTGGACCCACGGATCAAGCGCCGGAGGGTGCTGCGGTGTCCGCACAGCCGGATACTGTGTCAAAGAAATGGAATCAATTTCTGTGATTGGCGGTACTGCCGTTGTTGCCGACTCCTCCCCAACCCCAGCCACCAACGGCACTGGTGGTGGTTCCGGTGGCGGCAAGGGCAACGGTGGAGAAGGCACATTCGGTTGGCTTAGTGATCCACCACTCTTCCTCTGCACCGTGTGTTCGACTTGCTCTGGTTGTGTCAGTGGTAGAGGGAGCGGGTTCTTGCGTGGTCTTCCCCGCTTCGGGCGCTTCGCTTTTGCTGCGTCCGGCAGCATGTGAAGTGGTACATGCTGCTTGATACGTGCGCTCAGGTGTTGAAGGGTCCTACCAACGTACCGGCTATCACAATTCCGGCACTCAAATTGGTAGACCAAGTGGCTCAATAGGTGGGATGGTAGGACATCCTTCCTCACCGTGAACGCTGTATTCGTACGCATAAGCCCGATTTGTGTAAGCAAAAAGAACATGTTTTAGCAGTTCATGAGTTGTTTCTGCACTGTTCATGCCCGTTTGTCACACTTACTCCTTATTTTAGTTCTCACCTTTTGTAATACTTACCACAAGTTACCCGTCATGTGTCACACTTCTTTGGATTTTTAACCTTTGTTTTTCCCTTGATCTCTTTAGTTCCGTATTTCCACTGATGATCGGAGCGTGAAAATCGATTTTGGAAACACACAAAACCAAACCTTGAACAAATTGTCATGTTGCGTGGTGATGTCTGCGGCATTCATACTTTTCATAGCTATTAATAAAAAATAACCTTGAAATTTCCTGTAAGAATCACATAATTATATGAAATGCCAAGTTTGTATACTTTGTATACTTTGTTTATAGTGGAAATCAAAACAGGCAAATGCCTAATAACATTGGACCCACTGTGAATAACATGTTAAAGGATATTGTGGAAAAAAAAAAGTAGATACAAGAGAAAAAGAGAAAGGAAAAATGACGGAAGGTTGGTTGCAACGAACAGATATCAATCCAGTAAGCATTGGAAAACCTATGTCGCTGATAATATATACTGCAAAGCTTGAGATTTAAAATCCAAATACCTATTTGAACATTTTGCTGCTGGTGGCAATCTATTCCACATAATGGCTCCAGCGTGCGTTAGGCGCTTAGCAGAACGAGCAGTGCTAGCAGGTGGGACCACAAGCAAGTTGCTTTGGCCTCCCCGAGTGCGAGTTGAGGGCACGACAGCAAAAAAGGACTCAAACAGGGTGCTACATGCATCATGCAAACATCGCCAGATGAAACAAAACATATTCAAGTGCACAGAAACCTGTAGATCACATACATGCATTCGATTTAGCAGGGGAGCAGTACTGGTCCACGGTGGCGACTTGCAGACTGCCCGAGCGGCACGTTTGAACAGCCTATGTAGCCGTTGTTCCTGGGCAACTGTCAAATACGGGTAGTAACTAATAGAAGCATACAAAAATTCAGGCAAAACGATAGATCTGAAGTAGGTGAGTCGGCATGGATACGGCAGCGAGGAAGCATGTCGCAGCAGGACAGCAATTTTGCCGGCAACACGACGAGCAACATGGTCCACCATTGTGGTCCAACTCATGTCCGAGTCAAAATGCAGGCCAAGGTATTTGGCAGATGTGACTACTGGTAGGACTTGTGAATTGCATACAACATTGATGTCGAGGGCTGCAGCTCTATGGTGTGGTATGGCGAGTATCTGCGTCTTGGTCTCGTTAAGGATCAGTCCACGTTTCTTCAACCAAGTGGCCAGGTACTGAACTGCTGCAGTGAGGCGCTGGGAGACAACTTCTGGCTGTGGACTGCTCGCACGCAGCGAGATGTCATCAGCAAACTGAATAGTGGTGACGTCATGAGGGGCAAGGTCGCCGGCAATATCCCTCACATACAGAACGAAGAGCAAAGGTCCGAGAACTGACCCTTGAGGAACCCCTGACTGGCTGTCATAAGTTGTACTTCTGGTTTTTCCTGTCTCCACGTATTGCCGGCGATACATCAAGTAGTCTGAAAACCATTGCAAAGCAGTGCTAGTGAGACCCAGTTCAAAGAGGTCCTCAACCAGAATGCTATGCTTTACCTTGTCGAAGGCTTTAGACATGTCGACAAATGCTACTCCTGTGTGCTGCCCAGCGGCTTGTGCTTCATTGATGTTCTCTACAGCTAGCGCTAAGGCATCTGCTGTGGAATGCTGGTGTCTGTAACCAAACTGACTAGTAGGCAAGAAATTGTTCGTGTTGAGGTACTGCAGAAGCTGCTTATGAACAATACGCTCAAGCACTTTCGACACTATCGGCAATAGGGAGACTGGTCGGTAATTCTTGGGTTGGCTGGGGTCTCCAGCCTTGAACAGAGGCCGTATCTTACCCACCTTCATTGCCGCAGGAAACTGTCCTTCTCTCAATGACTTATTAAATAGTAGCGTGAGTGACGGTGCCAGGATGTCAGCATGCATCTGGAGGAGACTTGCTGGAATATCATCACTCCCAGTGGCTTTTCTGGTGTCCAACTGTTCCAACATTTTCCGAGTAGTTGCAATGGAGACTGGCAAGAATTCCGAGAAGTGCACCGCAGGTGGAGGCCCAAGGGGTAGGCGTAGCTGTGCAGGGCGAGCTGGATCTTCCACAACTTTCGAAAAAGTGTCTCGAATCGCATCCACCGTGCACTGTGGATCCCTGTACGTCGACTGTTTGCCTGTCAACTCCTTGATTATTTTCCAAGTCTCTCTGGCATTTCCAGTACATTGCTGAAATTTGGAGTTGTAGAATTCCTGTTTCCGGGTCCTGTTGTAGCTAGTTGCCGCACGTCTGGCTGTACTAAATTCATCATAAGTCTCCTGTGTCTTAGCAGAGAGCCACTTTCGGTGCAACCTATTCCGCTTGTGTAGTAAGTACAACAATTGCCGGTCAATCCATGGCACTGAAGGCTTCTTCGTTCTGTGATTACTTTGAAGTGGGGCATGGACATCCAAAACCTCAATAAACCGGCTAGACCACTCGGTCCACATGGCGCTTGGGTTGCCGGTAATACTACACAAGTTCTTCTGGGTTAAGTCACGCCGGAAGTGATCGTGGTTTATCCGGTGATAGTTGCGGTATAAACGTGTGGTGTCAGATCCACGAGGCACAATGAGGTGAAAGTCACTGGCCACGGCAGCATGGTCACTGAAAGCGACCGGGATGATCTTCGCTGTAGTGGAAGGATCAAAATTGTTCAGTATCAAATCGAGGGTGCTGTCTTGTCCTGTTGAGCTAAATCGCGTAGACTTGTTGACACCGTGATGCAGAGCATAGCTGTTCAGCAAGTCAGATAAGTAGTGATACTGAGGGTCCCTGGCACTTAGGTCAATATTCACATTAAAGTCACCACAAACGATAGCATTTGGCTGTGGCCTTAGAGCAGCGCAAAGATGTTCGTCTAGCTTGTCCCAGTAACCCACAGGTTCAGATGGAGGGCGGTAGATCGTTCCAACAAGACAACTGCGGGGTTTGCAAGCGACTTCACACCAGCAACTTTCCACACCATCAGTTGTTATGTCGTCTCTTGGTTTTACCGGAAGACATGACTTCCAGTATATGCAAACTCCTCCTCCTACTCGACCACTACGGTCTCTGCGTGTTACACTATATCCAGTCAGGGCTATTTCTTGGTCCGAAACAGTGGCGTCGAGCCAGGTTTCGTTGACACAGACTATATCCGGGGCGTTGAGTTGTTGTGTGAGCAGTAGGATGTCATTGAGTTTGTTACGCAGGCTCCTGATGTTGAGAAATAGAACGCGAAGTGCACTTGGGTGGGTAGGAGAAGGTAGTGGAACTGACGGACTAAATGAGTCAGCAAGGGGGTTAAGTGAAGACATGGCTGTTCTTGTAAAAGTGGGTTGGAGTCTGGCAGTTGGGTTTGACTCTGTCATAGATTATGTAAAAGAAGATCAAATCAGTACTCAAAGGTTATCCCACCGATTGTAACATTCGCCAGGCTGCTGTCTGCATCCTCTTGTGAATCTGCATTTCCAACTGGCAGTTCATTACTTTCAGAAAATCCTTCAGTGCTGTGCAGTGCAGTCCTGGACTGTGCTGGGAAGGTGTGTTTCCCAGAAGCCAGGGTGAAGCCCTCAGCGTCAGGTGACTGGTGAGCTGTCTTTCCTCTGCAGAATTTGTTCATATCCTGCATTGGGGTTCTGCTCGGACTGGTGGTCTCATTGCGAGCCTGCTGCAACAGTTCCGATATATTCCTAGTACTCTGCTTGTCCTTTGGATCCGCGTGGGGTTGTGCTGGGTCCGTACAAGGTTCACGAGGTCGAGATGAGATCTCTGACTCTGCATCCGTAGATGAACTCGAGGCGCCAAGTACTGGAGGTGGTGGCTGGGGTTCAGAGCTGTGGTGCACAGAGTTGTTGGCTTGACCTGCGCTTGACCCTACCATACTGGAGTACAGCGTACCAGATGCAGAGTTCTTGCCCCGTTGCATCTGCTGAGTGCAATTTCTGGACACGTGGTGGCTTGACCCACACTTATAGCATGTTGGGGTCTGACCCTTGTGCCATACACGGATTCTCTGGTGTGTGCCAGGCAAGACAATCACAGAGGGGACAGCTACGGTCGGTACTATACTGACGTACACCGTTCCAGTGGTGAAGGTACAGGCTTCAATGGTTTTCACCTCCCGCTTTGGTTTGCCGATCACAGTGCCGAATTTCTCGATTGCAGAGACAATGGAGGGGAGGGAAACGTCTTCAGCCACGCCAAAAGCATGGACTGACACTACAGCACCATCTCCAACCACCAAGGTCAAAGGCGTTCCGTTAGCCTGCAGGCCTTTCGTCACAACATCGTCCCTTACTTCAGTGCTACAAAATGTAATTCTGCAGAATCCACGTCGGCCATTTAGATCTACTTGCTTCACATCTCCTGGTTTTACTCCAGCAGACAGCAACAGCTTTACGTAGAACGCATGATCGTTCCTTGGATGGTCCTCCCCTAACTGTATCGAACACACTCTCGACATTTTAGAAACAAACCCAAAAATCCCACGGATTCTCGGAGGTCAAAAACTTGCTGCCTACTCTACCAGGTCAAATTATGGCTTCTAAGTTCGCAGCAACTCCTCGTAGAAACTCATCCTTCGTCCTGGTCTCAAACGACCGGAGTATGGCACGAAGTCGCTTGTCCCGATCTTCATACTTCATACTAGGGAGATTTCAGGGATGCGGTGGCGTTGCGGTATGACTGGGCATTGGTTGATGTGCCTTCTACCTGCTCGTGTGGCCAACCGTTTAATCCGGCCCATGCCATGTGTTGCCCTACTGGTGGTTTCCCCACCATTCGGCACAATGAAGTTCGCGATATTCTTGCCGACTTACATACTGAGTGGTAAGCCGTGACTGTGTCTGAGAGCACATCATAGAGTGGTGCCTTTACAGGTTTTACTGAATGTTGACCTGGCTAGAAGTTTGCTCGGATGTCGCTGTCGAGCCTCAGCTTGCTCCGGTTTCGGGAGAGGTGTTTCTGGCAGCCTCAACTAACACCGCCAACGATGCTCGTGCTGATATCCGGGCTCGAGGGCTGTGGACCAGGGCACAGAATGCTTTCCTGGATGTCCGGTTCATCCCGATGCTCCGTCCTATGCCACCAAACCTCTCGACAAACTGTTGTGTGTGTGTTTTCTTTATTTGAATTCGCTAAAACCAAACGGACAGAACTGTCCAGTGACAAGGGAGCGAATGATGAGCGTCATAATCACTATGCATCAAAACATCTCAGGACAAAATGAGACAGACTATATTAAGGGAGGGTCTGCACAACACTTGTACATAAAGGGGAGTACGAGAACAAAGGCGCGGCAGAAGTCGAAGCAAGAAAGCAATCAACGCCAGAGATATTTTTGTCCACGTTGGCGGAGCATGAGAGGAAGAAGAAGCTGCAGTATGCAGTCCGTGCGCCAGATTCAAAAAAGTCGTCTAAAAGTTGACTTTTCATTTTCCGCACTGGGCAGTTTGCGGGTACTTTTTGAGTCGCATTCTCAATGGTGGACAATTTTGGAAAATGGTTTTGTGTCTATGGCTCGTTTGTTTTGGCATTTCGCTACCTGTGTGGTGAGCCTAAAAATTGCGCTTAGCCGTGGCAACGTAATGGTGTATTCCGTTTTTCAGCCAGATGACTTGTTTCGCTGTGGTCCGGCATCTTCCTAGATTCTCAGCCGTCGTCGAATTTGAGTATTTTCGAAACATTTTTTAGGGTGCAGGCGTGGGGCAAGGCTTTCACTCCCAGCCAATGGCACCATTTGGCATAACTCAGCCCTATGAACACGTCACCAGGCCCTCGTTAGTGTCCAGCCCATATTTCCAAAAATGGACTGGACTTGAAACTTGAGTGTACAGACAGTACTATGCATTATCCACGTAATGACAGTATGCAATAACTTTCGCAAGCTACACGACAAGGACTCGCTGCAGAATAACATAATGATATTCACACCATATGCCATTGTGGTGCACCGTGATACCAATGACAATATATTTATCGGTGATCAATTGCCTACTGGGTCGCTCCGTTGCCGAGAACGTCAACTTTGCGGACTGTGGAATGACCCGCGACACCGCCAACCACCCCTGACACAAAGCCAAATGCTAAAAGAGCTGACTGATACGGTACCTAGCAAGTTAACTGGATAATGCTTATCTTCAACAAAACCAGGACATAAAACAGTGCTATGATAAACTACCTCCAGTCACCGGAAACAAATACAGTGCATTACGCATATGGATAGAGATTGCACTAGTACATGTATAATTGTATACCAATCTTAGAGTAAGAAAACAAGTTATCGGGTCTATACCATCAGAGTTGGCAGCTATATGTATTGGATTCTCCTGGTGTGCAGAATGATGCTGGTGGCGTGGTTCATATCCACTGTTGGCTTGCTGTCGGCAGTGCCTTCACTATCTCACGTCTAAGGCATTTTATAGTCTGCATGACTTGGATCACAACGCCATAGTTATCCACACGAGAATGGTAATAAATCCAGATCACTAAGGCCTTCTTCATTACAGTTGGCGCAATACGTTCACCGGATCGCGTCTCCGACCTCCAAATTGTAATTATAGCTGGCTAGTCTGTTGTTTATTGGCAGACAAGAATTGCGATGCTTCTTCGAAAGAGGCAGTTTAGCAATGTCTGTCCATGACATATTCCGCATTGCTGTGTGTGGAAGGAAAGGTGCAACAACATTAGATTGCTGCTGGCCATAGACATCAAACTGCAACATCTGGGCTTCAGCTGTCACAGGTCCATTGACAGAGAGACTGCCGCATATTGCACATACTGCAAACTATTGACTTCATGCCATCGCCTCATGGATCAGAAGTCACCACACTGAAAGAAGAACAGCAGAGGAAAACAGAACTGATGCAGTTAATTGATGCAGTTAATTGGCAGCAACAAATTTACTCCTTCATTTCATTCGACGAATTTGAGTCGTGCAATGCAAGAAAATTAATAAGTCAGAGAGCAGGATCTAGGAGAGGGCAGGCACCAGTGCTGTTGTGCCTATAATAATTAGATGCTCAGAATTTCACCACAATAATGCACATAATACTGACATATTTACACTATGCAACCTAGTAGTCAACAAATTCAGAAAAAAAATCTAGTACTTCAGCTGGTGAAATATCCCACCTCTATCCCCTAAGCTCAAGTGTCCCTGTAAAATTGATAAAGGATTGGTAGATGCTCACTTGGAGTGGTGTTTGAAAAGTAACACAACAGGTCATGACGATTTAGAGCATGCTCAATTGTCTCTTCTCACAAAATCACAATATTGCCTGTGGCGTGGTTTATTTCGGGTGCAATTGTGGGGCACATAGGTATCACTCTAATTTCTCGTGCATTCGAAAGATAAAGCTTTGGTCTATCACCCCACAAAGCGGCTTTAGTGTCCGCGATGGGTAAATGCCTTACCTGGTGTGAAATTGGTGACCATATTCCTCGTTTCAGCAATTACAAAAATGAGACATTCGTCCTTGGTGGCTGCTCACGAACTGCAAGCTCCAAAATAATTTTCCAGGGTACGGCCATAGGTGTCTACATCACTCCGAGCCATCTCTCCAGTGTAGGAAAGGTCTCCTGACGAGACTAGAAGGGCTCTAAGCAGCAAATTATTCACCATTCGGAGATAGGCGAAATCAACAGAAAACAAGCCCGCAGGTGCGGCGCCTTGGAGGCTACGATTCCCGCGAGAAAATGAAAATCGGTCTCTCAAGGGCCTTGGCGCACGGACTGTATGCTGAGCGCATCATCAATGTGGACCGTGGGACATTTACTCCACTAGTTTTCACCACGGCCGGTTGTTGTGCGCCAGAGTGCTCCAGATTTATCAAGCGCCTGTGTGGCCTCATTTCGAGTGGGGACACGAAGTTGTATGCCGAGACAATGACATATGTCCGGTGTCGACTGGCGTTTGCATTGTTGCGGTCGGCGATCACGTGCATCCGCGGTGCCCGATCGTCATATCATCGTCCTGTGAATGCATTGCGAGAGTTGGCAATCTCGGAGGGTCGGGTGTGAGGTTTTGGAGACGATAGTGGGCAGGACAGTGCCCTTGTATTTCCTGTTTTTTTGTTTTGTTTTTTTGTTTTTGTTTTTTTTGCTTTTTCTCGTTTTTTGCGTTTTTTCACACATACAATTGTTTTCATTTTTTGGTGTTGTGTTCTAATCATTCGCCATGCCACTGTCAATTGTATTCTGTTTGCCCGTAAAAGAGGCCTTTATCTTCATACTTCCTCCTCTTCTTCGGAGCCTCATGACCTGCATTTTACCTCTCCACACACTGCTCCATCATTGCCTGCTCGACAAAAATACCATCCAGGAATTTCCAAATTGTGGGATGATGGCAGTCGATGGTAGACGAAAACTTGCGGTGCCACCCTTCTTGACTGTAATTCGTTCTGTCTTCATTTTGTAGAGTGCTGTCGTGGACATTCCACAATAGAGGTGTGAATAGTGGCGTTCTGCGTTGACCATTGTGCCGAAGGGTACCAATGTAACTCTTCTCGAAGTACTCCAGGATGGGATCCATTTCTGGCGACAACGTGTCAGAGCATGTTCCAGCAGAGGCATCAGGGTTGGTTGGTTGGTTGGTTTTTATTTCACTTCGCACATTCAAACGGGATGACAACCCAATAAAATGACGGCGAAGGCTTAGCCTAGAAGTGGCTATGGAAGAACATAGTAAAAGCTATGAGAGCACAAAGTAAGAGAATAGGATACTAATAACTGCCGGTAAACGGGGGGAGAGAGAGAACACGATGTATCTGTGATACTACGTGCGGGTTACTGAACTGCACGGGGAGGGAGAGCAGAGCAATCAGCAGCAACTCGAACTACTCCCTACAGGCGTATGGTACACATGCATGCTTAAACTCAGGTAGCCGGGTAATTGTGCGGACCTCACCAGGGAGAGCGTTCCACAGCAGAGCACCAGCAACAGAAAATCTCCGCTGACCGCGGCGGCTACGGTTTGCCTGGCTCAGTAGGCCATTTGACTGCTGATGGCGGGTAGGGGTGCCTTGTGCCGGGGTCAGAAGCTGGGCGAGCACAGGGCTGGTGCGGGCGTGGATGCACCGCCAGATGGTGATCAATATTTTCTGCCTGTAGAGCTCGCTGACACGGTACAGGGAGTGAGCAGTGGCTGCATGGCTGTCCGGGGCGGGTTGCCATCGATACAGCGGATGGCTCTGTTTTGCGTGGTTTGCAGTCGTTTCAGTTGACCCTCTCGCATTGCGGCTGAAAAACAGCAGGAGCCATAAAGCAGGTCGGGCATTATGACCGCCTTCACATACACCTGACGAGAGCGTCTTGATAGGCTTCGGCGTGCCCGCCACAAGGCGCCAATTTTCTTGGCAACCTTGGTGATCAGAAGCAGCCAATCAATGAAAAGCAACCACACTGCTAAGCTGGTGTGGCTGTGAATTGTCGCGCTGTGAGTTGTCTTGGCTGTGACTTGTCTCGCTGTGAGTTGACGACACTGTGAGTTGTCTTGGCTGTGAGTTGACGACACTATGACTTATGTCATGAGCTGTCGGCTGTGAGCTGTCTCGTGGTGAACATGGTGAAGCGGGATTGAGGGAACACGACAGGTCACCGCGAGACAGCTCACAGCGCGACAACTCACAGCCGACAGCTCACAGTGTCGTCAACTCACGGCCAAGACAACTCACAGTGTCGTCAACTCACAGCGAGACAAGTCACAGCCAAGACAACTCACAGCCACCCCAGCTCACAGCGCGACAATTCACAGCCACACCGCGATCGGCTGCGGGTTCAGAACATTCCGCCGAACCCAGGCACACTGCAAGACCTCCAGTTGCCGGAGCGCTATCAAGAAACGAAGGGTGGGGACGTCTTCCTTCTCTACGACAGTGGACCGGAAACTGTGGACAACAGAATTATTGTGTTCTGTACCGCAAGTTTTTGTCTACCATCGACTGTGTCATCATCCCACAATTTGGAAATTCCTGGATGGTATTTTTGTCGAGCAGGCAATGGCGGAGCAGTGTGTGGAGAGGGAAAATGCAGGCTATGAGGCTCCGAAGAAGAGGAGGAAGTATGAAGATCAGGACAAGCGACTTCGTGCCATACTCCGGTCGTTTGAGACCATGACGAAGGATGAGTTTCTATGAGGAGTTGCTGCGAACTTGGCATTTCATATAATTATGTGATTCTTACAGGAAATTTCAAGGTTATTTTTATTTTATCTTATATTTTAACTGTATTTTCATTACTGTCTTCTTCTTGTTCAGGCTTTGTCTTCTTTCTCGATTAAAGTTCTCTGTTATTTTTCTTGTGAAAAGAAGAAGGACAAAATGTTACGAGTTATGACTAAGTGTCCACATTTTGTCGCACTCGCTGACTGTATAAGATCTCGTTACGTTGGTGGACAGTTAGTCATAACTCGTAACATTTTGGCCTTCTTCTTTTCAGAATTGTTTAATTGGCTCACCATCCGAGTTACATGTTATTTTCTTCTTTGCATTACATGTAAATAGGGAAGTGCCGAGAACGTCGCGTTATTATTATCATATACATTGTAGGTTTTTACTAGGACCAACCCCTACAGACTCCAGGTCTTCATTGCACCATTACATAAAATAAGGACGCTGTGAGTTGTCGACACTGTGAGTTGTCGCGCAGTGAGTTGTCTTGGTTGTGAGTTGTCTTGACTGTGAGTTGACGACACTGTGAGTTGTCTCGCTGTGACTTGTCTCGCTGTGAGTTGTCGCGCTGTGAGCTGTCTCGCTGTGACCTGTCGTAGACCCTCAATAATAAAGCCATTGCCGAGCCACCGTGCTCACAGCAGAGACTTCTGTGTGTGTTATTGTTGTGAAGTGGACCACAAAGACGTACAGGATTTTACAGCTGACCCCAGCCCTCCCGACAAGCCCTTACGTCCCGTACCGTCGGCGTTGCGTCGAATGTGAACTAGGCTTCACCAGGGTCTACGACAGGACACGTCTTTGTGGTCCACTTCACAACAATAACACACACAGAAGTCTCTGCTGTGAGCACGGTGGCTCGGCAATGGCTTTATTATTGATATTATTATTATCTCCTTCCTGATTTTTTTTTTCTTCCTTGAATAATTGTACGCATAGCCTAGGGCCTGATAAGAAAAATTAGCACAAGACACTGCTGCTACTGTAGTCGCACAGCAAAACACACAGAAAACTACATAATGTTACAATGAATGTAACAACACCCGTCCAAGCTAAAGGACCAACATCCCTGCCCCAGGACGGCATCTCGAAACCCCCCACACACTCACCACACGGTCATCATCCAGCTTCAGTTCAATCACTGTATTCTTCCCCTGCAGACTCAACCCCCCCTGTCACCAGCCATACAATCTGAAGCTGTATGTAACCATACAATGGCCCACGACGCACACACCACCCCTACGTTTTTTAACTAAAAAAGAAAAGCAGTCGTAACTGCAACAGCCACATGGCCAATAAGAAAAACCAATACGATAATATCGATAAACACACACCCAGAAGTCAGGGGTGGGAGGGTGGGATACAAACTGCACCAACGAAAAGCCACTGCGAAGTGACAGGAATGCGGTCCAGCACAACATTTTTGCTGACGCAAAAAGTTGTGGGGAAATCCCAAAATCGGTGCGATTTTGCATGAGCCCAAATGTTCAAGTTACCCACAAAGACACAAGCTTTCCAACTCTCTTTGGCCGTTGGAAAGCGTACCGATTCGTACGACACGACATGCAGCAGTCGTTGCGACGTTCAACGTCGAACGGCGCGAGTCATAAGGCACGGTCCTTGACGGGGTGACTTTCGGACCTAATTTCTCGTTTTTCGGGACTTCTTTTCAATTATTTCTCCTTGAAAGAAGCGGAATCAAGTTCACAATACCAGTTTTCCATGAAGACCAAAAAATTAGCCCTGAGAGTTGTGGCATTCAAATAATAGCCCCAGAAAATGATAGAATAGTTCGTCTGTCACGCTTCTGAACTATCCCTAAATACAATAAGTGACATGAGATCTTATGTTGCAAAAATTCAACTCAAGTCGTGCTAGCCATTCTGTGAGTTATGGGAAGCGCAGTGTTCGAAATGCTAAAAATTTCCAAGTACGAATCGGGAGTAGTCGGCGCACGACGCCGTCTCCTGTTCACACTCGAATTGCAGCCGTTTTGTACGCTTGCGTCCCCGTCTACGGTATGAAAAGTTGGATCGATCCAACTCTTCCCGTCGCTTCCCGATCTGTACGGTAGTACGGTTGCGTTCCCGTTCCTGGTGTTCACATTGGACGCCGTCAGACCGTCCCGTCGCTTCCCGTCGATCCTTACGTCGCGTCCCGTCGCGCCCCGTCGAATGTGAACTAGGCTTGACCTGTCGTGTTCCCGACGTACGTTTCGTCCCCGCTGGACTCATCAGGCAATCTTCTTCTTCATATCATACGGAGCTTGACTCGGGAGAATGAAGTTGAAGACCCACTGCAGCTGTACTTATGGTTGATAAATATGGTGGTAAACACACGCCTGCCCACACACGCTCTCTAAGCTGCAAACTTAGTTTTGGCACAGAGCTCTCCTTCTCACCACCACCACCATCAGTTCGCGCCTGGAGCCTAGTCGATG